GAATTTAGCAACAGAAACACTCTTGTGAGCTTATAGAAATAACTTTGGTAAGTGGCCTCTCCTAAAAAAGGCTGCTGAAAGCTCTAAGTATGAGGATAAAACATGGTACCAGACTGTGTACTCTGCCGCTCTGAACTAAATCTTGATGAGATTAAGATGCTACACTGATTCCTGGGTTTATTGCACCAACAGTCCGTCTCTAACCTACCTGTGGCTGCATCTGCAACAAGGTAAACTCCAAGAAGGTGTGGAAACAGTGGGTCCCTACAGCACCCTCTGCCCAAAGGTCGATCCTCCTTCCTGATTTGTCAGGCAGTAATGCCTACAGCCACTGGAGCGGAAGATGGCACAATGTGGCTTGCTTGCTTTCACCTTTTGTAAAAAGCAAACTCTGCCCTGGAATCCAAATCCCTTGTTCTGACTGTCTTCTTAGAGTAGCAAATTGCACGTTCTCCACTTTGGAGAGCTCATGCTTAAACTCCGAAACGTTGTCCTACTGGAATGGTATGTACACCAGCTACCCCTGCTCCCAAGTCCCTTGTCATTCCGCCCAAACACACACGGTGATCTGTGCCAGCAGCTTAGTGTTTAGTGTAGTGTTTATGTCTCCTCCTACCAAAAAGGTCACTCTCTCTGTTGATTCATGGATAACAAAAGGCCAAAGAGTATTCACGAAAAACATAAATGCCATTATGTCAAGTAAACCTAAGTCGTCCAACGAAGCATCCACTTGAAAGCAACAAAACAAAACAAAACAAAGTGATGGAATGACTGTTTGTTTGCTCTTCTCATGCTTTTGACGTCACAGAGAGCTTATTCCTTTCACCTTCAGTTGAGAATCTGATTTTTTTTTTTCTTCCAAGGAAGAACTGTCCTGAGCTTTAGCTTATAAGAGTATCTGAGCGACGTAAGGAGAATGAGTACTGGCAATAGCAGTCAACAGAGGCAGGTCGTTGGATTCAATCCTGAATGGTGAAAAAAAAAAAAGAATATTAAAGTAGCACGATTTTACAGGAAAGTATTATTGCTAGGTACCAAACTTGCCAGATCATTGCTTAAAACTAATGACAAAGTAAGAGATGGGGGCGCCTGGGTGGCTCAGATGGTTAAGCGTCTGCCTTCGGCTCAGGTCATGATCCCAGGGTGCTGGGATCGAGTCCCGCATCGGGCTCCCTGCTCAGCGGGGAGCCTGCTTCTCCCTCTGCTTCTCTCTCTCTCTCTCTCTGTCTCTCATGAATAAATAAATAAAAAAAAAATCTTTAAAAAAAAAAAAGTAAGAGATGGAAAGATGCTAAACCTGTTCTTTTAATACAATCTCCCAGTGGCCGCCACCTGACGACACAGAAAAAAGATGCAGGTTTGCTGTGTGTGCATGTGTGTGGGGACACAAAGCTGCTCTTCCCACAGTTGGGGTCGCCTAGTTTAAGCGCAGAAGTGTTCTATGTTCCTCGACCACATCATTGGGTTGTACTTTAACGTCTTCTCCAGGATCTCCTCATTCTTCCAGTCAGCGCTCTTGAACGCGTACTGAGATTCCGCACCTAGGCTGGAATCAGGCTTAGGAAAATGATGAAGGTGGGAGTTTTTCTAAAAACTTGGGGATTTGTTCAATTGGTTAGACAATTCAGATCCTCACTAAGCATCTGAGCTACAAGATTCTGGGAGCAAAGTGACACTAATAGATACTGAGTCAAGAGACAACATAGCATCAAATGGACGTGACTTTGGCTGCCTCTCTTACAGCAGAGGCGGATACAGCATGGTCACTGGCTAAATGCTGCCAAATGTCCTGAAAAAAATTAGGACTGCTTCAGTCCATGGAATATGTCCTATTTTTTTTTCCCTTGAATTCCAAAAATGAAAAATCAAAAATAAAATTTAAAAAGGTAGCTGGCATTACTTCATGGAACTTTCTATGCTTTCTCCAGTAATGCTGCCTACAGATCTCCTTTCAGGGTAGATAAGAAGTTCTTCAGTACCTTTTGTGCTGCTAGCTCTGACCAGGAGAGAAAGGGGCTAGAGCGAGGCTGGATGTGACCCCCACTAATAATGCACCAAGAGGACCGAGAGATGAGGAAGATAATAAGTCCTTATGATCCTTCTAATAGCGTCGATGGACACCTGCCAGTCAGGGTCCAGGTGAAGATCCTAGAAATGTAAGGCACACATCTGGCAATGGAAACCTGGTGAGGCAGGACTCAAGTCTGAGGCTGGTAAAGAGATCTAAACAACTAAGAACAACAATAACAGCAACAAAGATAACTGCAAGTTAACTGCCAAAGCAAATGCCTCAAAAGGGAAAAACATTTTTTTGAATAAAGTATGGGGGAAAAATGTATGACAGGAAATGCCAAGAGCCAAACAATACAGTAAGTCATATCCTGGGTGTGAAAGATGAAAAGTCTGACAAGAATGCAAAGGCCCAAGTCTTGAAATAATATTTTGATTAGCAGGCTTGATAGAGAATTTCAAGGTTGACATTAAAGACACAATAATTTCTTGTCCCAAATTAGGGGAATCATCATCACAGGGAAGCGGGTCAATTCCCCATAGACACAATGTCTTTTTGTTAGTTCTCTGTTGAAACATTAAGCAGAGAGTAACACAAGTCAGCATTTCTTCTCTGAGAGAAGGTATGGCCAAGACCCAACCCTCGGAAGATGATCTACACTGTCAGTAACATCAGTATGTCTCCTCTTCCAAGGGGCTTCTACTGAAAGAGGGGAAAGTATGGTCACCCTGTGGACATGCAGGCGGCCCCTGAGAGTCCAGGAGAAGGCCTTTCTTGCCTCCTCCAGGGAGCGAAATGTAAACACAAGCTCTGCTGCATGTCTGATAGGTGGCGCCTTTGATCTCTCACCGAAATGACTAGAAATGGGCAGGCAGAATGGGATTAAATTTTTCACTTTCAAGCAAAAAATAATCCAGGGAGGAGACTAACATAAAGTACCACTAGCTTAGAGTTCTGCATTTGTTTGCGGGTATGAAACTCCAGTATCAGAGATAAGAAAGATGGGAAGCAGCTGAGGCACACATCTCATGAACCCCAAACATTTCAGTGGGGCACTGGGGCGCGCAGGTTCTGGGTGACACAGGCTAAGTAGGTTGGTCAGTGGGTGCGGGGCTAGGGTCAGCCCTATCACAGGGGGAATCAGTGGCAGAACTCACCCCAGTACGACACCTAATTCTTTCACATGGACTCGTGTGTGTCCACGAAGATATTCGGACAGCATCTTACTTTTAAGGTACATCTCTTGTAGTCTATCTTCAAGATGCATGATGCACTGTGAAGCCAATAACATTCACAATGAGGGCTAGGATTCAAGTCTCTGCCAATATTCTAAAGAGCTGGAATTCTCTTAATTCATTTCTAAGGACACAGCTATAATCTCATTCCTTCCCAACACACTTAAAAATTACAAACCATATCAAACCAGTGGTAGGTATAAGAAAAGGTTTTTATAAAACAACAGTTTACTTTTTCTAATAACTACTAAGATCTTCATACATATCTGCTAGTCTTTTTTAAAAAGCAACATAGTTTCATTCTGTAAGTGCAATTATTTCCTACTTTTTAAAATCTTTGTAATAATCTTTTCCCCATGTTATTAATAAATCTTTATCAATGTAATTTTTATCATTAAATAATTTTTGAGAATGTGAATTACCATTATTTACTTATCCACATGGCAATCTGAGTTTTTGTTACTAGAAATAATTGTTTAAGGAGTATCTTTGTTGTTTTCCTATAGCTCACATGATTTCGGTGAAATGCATCCCCAACAGCAGAGTGAATGGAACAAGGTTACTTTAAAAATTTTTTTTCCTCTCAAGAGTGTATTTTAACTAGGTCTTTAATAACAGTAAAGAAAAGGCAATTATTCTCAGGACATCTCTACCCTTGGAAATGTGTCCAACTTCATTTTTTAGAGAATAGCAACCATCTGTGTCTTTCACCAGAGGCAAATGCTTTTGCATTTGGCAGGCAGAGGCATCCAAGCATCTTCAGTAAGACACCTGATGGCTTTGGCAAGGGTAATTCCATCATACATAATTTTTTCTAGACCATTACGCCTGTTATTTTCAAGGTAAAAAGATTAACAGATGCATTTGAAAATGTTGATCTTGACCACCTGGGCTGATCAGTGACAGGAAAAAAGTGTCTATTCGAGATGCAATCTTTTCAGTTTTTCACTGGCTTAAAATCTTAAATGCACTGTGTGGAGTGGATGAAAAAAACTGGTAAGGAACTAAGAGCAATAATCAAAGCAAGGAGGATTTCACCAATTTTCATGAAAATGTTCCTCCAAGTAAACAGAGTTAGGTGGTAAAAGGATCTCCTGTTAAGTTTTCAGTTCCTTATGGAGTAAATACAAAGTTTTTAATAAGAGTGTTATAAAATATTAAAAAGAACATTCACATTATGTGGCATCCTTTGTTTTAAATGGTTAATTTATGGTGTCTTCATAGTCCCCATGAAAACTGTATGTTGTAATGTGGAAATAAAGAGAACATTGGTCTATATGGAACTTGAAATCAAATCATTTAGAATTTTTTTTTAATAAAAGGTTTGATTATCAAATAGAACGGCTTTGGGTTCTGCCCTCCCCTTTCTGGGATTTTATTCCTGAGATGGATTTCTTTAATTTTTAACTTCTGAAATTTTAAATAGCCACTTTTTCCTTTCGAAAATACTGAAGGCTCTAATAGTCATTTAGTTGTGTTTCATTCAAGTAATTTTTTTAAGGAGAGTTTTAGACTGCAGATGAAATTTTCTTTGACCTTGGTTTTGTCAGGTTAAATAAGTCATTCATAGTATTAAGTGACTAAACATACTGCTATCCAAACAAAGTAAAAAGAATTAGCTATAGCAATTTATTGTCTGGATAACTAAGATGTCAAATGTAGCTATGTGTTACAGAATAAAATATGAAAGTTCGGCAAATACTTATAATAGTAAAAAAAAGTATAAAATCTAATGTATCTTTCTTTCCTTACAGAAAAAGAGAGTTCAGCCTCTAAATCGGCATGGTGCAGCTTGCTACTAGGAAGAAAAACTGCCTGCAAATATAGAACAAAAGTAAGGTCATCATAACCCGGAAGTGCTTCTCACATTACCCCCTGGGACAGAGGTCCTGCAAGAGTATGCTTCAGTCTAAAGCCCAAATAAAGATTCTGGTGAAAAGCTGTTGTCAGTCTTTACAGCTGGTAAATTTGTTTCATGATACTATTTATTAGCAATCACTCTAATAGTAGCTGTTTCCTGAGAACTCATGACATGTAACGCTGTTCCAAGTGCTTTACCTGAATCATCTAATTTCATTTTCATAACCGTACGAGGTAAGCTCCATCACCTCCTCAGCTTTACAGATATAGAAACTGAGACTCTGAGAAGTCACACAGGAAGGAGCAGAGCTTGAAAGTGACTGGGCTCTACAGGCCACGCACTGGCCACCGCTGTACACCGGCTGTCAGAGTGTCCCATATTGGCAGAGTGCTTTGCCAGTTTTTTAAAAAGCAGTATCTCTGGGCGCCTGGGTGGCTCAGTTGGTTAAGCGACTGCCTTCGGCTCAGGTCATGATCCTGGAGTCCCAGGATCGAGTCCCACATCGGGCTCCCTGCTCGGCGGGGAGTCTGCTTCTCCCTCTGACCCTCTTCCTTCTCGTGCTCTCTATCTCTCATTCTCTCTCTCTCACAAATAAATAAATAAATAAAATCTTAAAAAAAAAAATAAAAAGCAGTATCTCAGACCTAATTTTCAGAGGATTCTCACAACATGCTTGTCGAACGCGTACTATCTTCGTTTTACAAGTGAGAAAGCTGAGGTTCAGAGACGCTCACAAGGCTCATCGATGGCAAAACCTAGACTTGAAGCCAGTTGCACTGAGGGGTCTCCCTACCGTGCCACACTGCCACAGCTTAGAGGACAACCACACCGTATTTCAAATCACCATCTTGAAGGCCACAGAACTCTTGACTTTCTGAGGAATGTGGTGCAACTGTAGGTCTGAAGAACTCGGGAAAATTACCACTCCATTTGCATTACTGTAGGCAATTAATATTTAGCTTCCTCCTTTGTTATTAAGTAGCTCTGTATCTGTTGTGGAGGCCAGAAGGGAGGTGACGGATACTCCGGTCTGGGGGTATACTGCAGAGGGCAACCGAGTGCAGGGGGTAATGAGCTGAGAAGGTGGGTGCTCTCTCACCTCAGCGCAAATCCCTGAGGTCGGTCAGCTCACTTAACGATTCTCCTAGCTTTCTGCCCTTGAGCCTCTCTTCCACTTTTGAGACCTTTCTCCCTCCCACTCAAAATACATTTTCTCTCAGTCTCTCTGCACACACACACACACATACATTGAAAAGTATCTGTTTTCTACATTCATTCCAATGCCTGGGGGAGAGCTGTTAATCATTTCCTAGGAGTTTATGGGCTCTAGTTTATGTTTAATATAATGTTATGAAGTCAATTTTTAAAAATCCCATTTAAAAAGGAACAACTGATACCATCGTCTATGGGTATAGTACTTCAAAACTGTGTTTATACAAATGATATTCTGTTTTATCCTTAGCACTTTTAGGAGAACGGTTCCTGAACAAAAGGAACTAGAATCCCTTCAGAAACTGGCCTGCTTGATGTTGATCCGATAAAGGAGAACTAATGAGTTCTCCAAAAGAAGATTTTAAATTTCCTTTTATGCCTGATCCCTTCCCCCATAGCTTTTTTCCTTTACCATATACCTTATTCAAAAAGATTTCCATGTCACTGTGTATTGTTTCATGGACGAGCTATTTTTACTGAAATCTACCCTGTTTGCTGGTGTTATGTTGCATGTTCTATTTTTACTTATGCTAATGTCCAACTATATGAAACACAAAACATTTGGGGTTATGATTTTATAATCAAGGTACTGTTAAAAGTGTGGTAACTATCTTTCTTTGGTGATAGGAGAACAAGTACTTACAAAATCAGCAGGGAGGTGAAGCTTGTAAAGCTGTAAAATGGAGTGGAGCAAACTGGACACCTGACTCGAGACCAAGACATCCTGGCCCAGTTTCATGCCGTCCGTCACCTTCCTCTGACTTGTGGCTACCTGGACACTCCACTTGTCCGTGTCTGCGATAATACAGACCGCTTCGGCAATCGGCTCGTCAAGCACTGGGTGCTGGAAGGCAAACACAGGGGGTCAACTCTGCAGAGCACTGCCAAGTGGCACTCAGAATGTCCAGAATGTTTCCGTAATTTAGCATTAGCCTGACAGTTCACAAGCTGCCAGCAGGAGCTACAGGAATTGAGAGTGTTATGAGGACTAAAATAGGAGTGTCATCAAATCGTCATTTGAAATTCACATGATAAAAATTGCATTTAAGTGGTATTTTTTTTTCTTCCACCCAGGAGGTACGCTATAAATGTTGTTAACGTTCACAGATAAGTGAAAAGATATGTGCCCTCCTTACATTCCAGGATAGCAAAATTCCTTTCCTTTTGAAAGACTGCACTCTTCTTTTAAAATGGAGAAAATCAGAATAAGGTGAGGGATTCTATTGCCATTTCTCCAAAACAAGGTTAGTCAGGGCCACTTAATATTCCCTTAAAGTTATAGCTTTAATCATTAAGCAGTATTTACTTAGTGACCATGTGTTACATACATAAAGCAACTCTACCAACCAACTAAAATCAGATGAGGGACAAATTTATCTAGAGGAGTCCAAAAGGTCAAACAATGGCTACTGATGAGTAACGTAAAATGCAAAATCCTCAGTAACTATGTAGTTACGGACAGAGCAAGCTGACAACCAGTAAATTGTGCCATAGGGCCAACAGGGTAAACACTGACGTGGTCAAGGCAAAGGGCTTTAAAAAAAAAAAAAACCACCACCACACTAATGTCCTAAAACTGATCAAAGTGTAACTGCTTCATCACCAGCACCTGGAGTAAGAGCAATGTGGCTCACTGGGGAGGTCATGGATGGGGGATTCTCCAAACATGAATTACTTTAGAAGGCTGCAGATCCAGATACAGTAACAAAAAAGGACACAGAAGCTGGCTCAATTATTTTAAAAGGAGAAACTTAATGGGTACAAGAAATGTAAAAAAAAAAAAAAAAAAAAAAATCAAACTTGAAAAATGAGCATGAGTCATTTTTAAATCACTGGATCAAAGAGAAAAGACTAAAGACAAAGGGGTCAAGGGTTGAGACAAACCATCAGGAATCTGTGAGCCCATTCCTTGAAGGAGGGGCCTGAATCTTTTCTGCCTGAATTCTTAGCCCCTAGCACAGGACCTGGCATTTGAAAAATGTTACTAAATTAAAATGAGACAGGTTAAGTACAAGCAAATGACAGAGTTGATGAGCACCCTGCATTCCCTAAAACAGCATGGTATTGCTGACTCCTATGTTAGTAGGTTCCAGAACAGAGAAGAACAGGCCAAACATTTACAGAAGAGTACCTTAAAAGAAATACTTCAAGCATGACACATTCTCAGGCTACTACATATCTAACACAGAGCTCCCTGAATATATTCACAGGGCAACCCAATGTCTCCATCCAATCATATCATTTAGTAACCACTCACTTATTTACTGAAGAATAGACACTTTTTTTTTTTTAAGATTTTATTTATTTATTTGACAGAGAGAACGAGCACAAGCAGGGGGAGAAGCAGGCGGAGGGGAGGGAAAAGCAGGCTCCATCCCAGGACCCTGGGACCATGACCTGAGCCGAAGGCAGATGCTTTACTGACTGAGCCACCCAGGTGCCCCAAGAATAAAGACTTTTTAAAGGAGGACGGAAGTAAAGGAAATGTAAATTGGTCAAGGTTAAAAAAAGGAACGCTGGAGAGATATAATAAGCAACTACTTTCGTTACAATTGAAGGGATGCCAAGGCTACTGGTGGTCCATCGCTGACTTGGTCTAAACTTCTTTGGGGTCAGAGAGTTGAAGCTTACTTAAGTTCCAATGATTCTGGAGATTTCTCATATGTATCTTTCCAAAGAAAACATAAACCCCACTAAAGAGATTTGGCTTATTAGTCAGTCTCTAAGCTTTCAGAATTTAAAGAACTCTAAGATCCAGAAGACCATGTTTGGATTTATCACAGAAACACACACCCATACACACCCTATGCCCTGGTATTCAATTTAAAATTCCTCTTAGGAAAGGCTCTACTTTTAAGGCACATGTAGAACTACAATAAACAAAAAAATTACATGTATGCTTTTTTTTTTTTAAGGTTTTATTTATTTGACACAGAGAGAGCACAAGTAGGGAGAGAGGCAGAGGGAGAGGGAGAAGCAGGCTCCCTGTTGAGCAGGGAGCCTGATGCGGGGCTCAATCCCAGGACCCTGGATCATGACTTGAGCTGAAGGCAGATGCTTAACCAACTGAGCCACCCAGGCGCCCCTGTATGCTTCTTTTCAATACCAACTTTTTCTTTTCAGCTGTATCTTAATCATAGAACAAATTAAAGGTGAAATCTGTCACGGCAATTTTTTAAGTTCACAATTTTATCAAGTTCCCGTGTACACCAGGGTACACACAAACACATACACTTGGCAGCAGCAGTAACACACATGAGCAGTCCTTCTGGGAAATTAAGTAGCTTAAGAAATGCTGTAAAACCTAAGACTGAAGGATTCAGACACCTATTAAAAGCCTGATCCATCCATCTGCTGTTCTTAGGGCTTGGAGTTTAGGCATAGAGACTAGAAAAAAAGAAATGAGCAGGAGAGGCAGGGCATGGCTGCATCCTGGTGGAGACTGTGGCCTCCTATGGATCTTAAGAAAAGGAAGATAAAATATGGATAGCTATCATATTGGGCAAGTAATTTTACTTAGTAAGATTCCTCTTCTTAATGTTAAAAAACTCTTTAAGGAGTGGGAGGCACTTTGTTAGTTTGACTAAGTATCATCAGAAAACCAAAAAAGCCCCCATCATATATTTACCCCTTTAAAAGTTCTCCTCCCAACCATCAGTGTCTGAGATTAAATAGCACCTCTGATGTTTTGAGCTCTGAGTGAAAATCTGAAGGAAATATTAATATTAAAAATAGTCACTTCCCCTTAAAAATGCTTGTTTGGTTGAAAACTTTATGAACCGTAGGAACACTGTTATGTATCAATTGTCCTTTTCTCTCTCAAACCAAAGAGAATTAATTTCAAGGTACATTTC